GAGGAAATCTGCAAAAGGCTCAGAAGGCCCCTGGATAACTTTAGATAGGCTGTCATTTAGGCTGCCTGATCCCGTTAACATCTTCCATGCTTTAAGAGCTGCCTCATTAATTTGAGAATATACCTGTCCTGGATATCCAATTTGATTGTTTATAAAGGCACCTTGCCCCATGAGCATATCCACATTCCATGCTGGTTGGCCATTGGCCACGTTGGCGGTGGCCAGCTCCACACAGAATTCGAGATATGCTGATTTCCAATTTAAATAATCCCCTCCAGAGAGAACGGCTCTGCAGAGGTTCTGCCAATCAAAGGGTGTCATAGCACGCCTCGTCAAGCTTTCTACCTGAGTTATTGTATAGGCTGCTTGTATACCAAATGTAGATACTGATTCTTTCAGCCTCTGGATTACTTTCCAATCTAAAGGTTCATGGTATCTTTGATTATTTTGATCATCAAAAACTGGAAAAGCCCCATACCTAACTGAAAAATGCCTCCATGTTCCTTCATTAAGCGTCCTTCGACTTCCTCCTACATAAGGGGGAGCCGAGACCAGACTCCCTCTTTTGTAAGGAGGAGCTGGAAAGTCCCTGTCACACCAGGGGGCGGACGGGCTTCCTCCCACCCCGGTCTTTTCTTTCTCAGCAATTTTCAGCTGTTCCATAACACTGTCTAAGTCCTCCCCATCATACTCCTCCTCATCAGAAGGGGCACAGCAAGCGTTATGCTCGGAGAGTTCCTCTTTTACCTCCTCTAACACCTGTGCACCCTGGGCGATGTCCTCTTTATACTTCCCCGATTTATCAGTGAGACAGGTCCTTACGAGAGTCCACACTGCCAAAGTCCCCTGAGGGAGACTGCCCTCAAGATCCTTATCAAGTAAGTCCTTTCCTAAGCGCTCCCATGATGAGGGATTTATGTACCCCTCCTCCAAAAACCAGGGAGCCTCCCTAGTGATGGTATCAAGAAAATTCTCAACTGTTTCTGCCTTTAGCTTAATTCCACTTTTTTTCAGCAATTGTACCAGCGCTAGATGCACTTTCGTTTTTGATCCGCCAGCACCCATGTTTTCTCTGCCGAGATCTAGTTATCCGTCCCTTAGCCTAGGGAGCTTCCTAACTCCGTCCCAGTTTATGGAAACTTTCTCTCCATCCCTTCTCCTGAGGGAGCTTCTGATAGCTATCTTTTCCCTTTCAATACTTACAGCTCTAGAGCAAAGCTTGATGGTCCCCGTACGGGCCACCACTTGCGACGATCCTCAACTCTGACCTGCAGAGCTGAAGAGAAACGACATGAACACCAAGGTAGGGTTCAAGCTTCTTCTTTCATTGCGCCGTTTTTTCCGTTATATAGGTGCCCCGAAGCCCTCCCTTTCGCCAGACCCAATCAGGGGAATTACACGTGCACACCAGACAGTTGAGGCAGCAATCTATAGGGTCACGTAGACCCAATCATGCATGCTGACGCTACTCATCAGGCGGTCTGCACGTGATCGGGACACTGCGTTTGAGCATATGGAGTAAACAGGTGATGATCACAAGTCTGGGCAAAATGGCAGGGCGCCATCTTGGGCTGCTCCAGCCACGCTGGCTTGCCACAAATTTCTTTTTGTGTTCTAGGTCTGTTTAATCTGTTAATCTCTTCTTGGTTTAGTTTTGGTGTTTCCCATGCCTTTAGCTATCCATCCATTTCTTTTAGGTTTTCAAATGTAGTTGTGTATAGATCTGTAAAGTATTCCCTTATAATGTTCTGTATCTTTCTGGTGTCTGTTGTGATGTTTCCCCTTTCATCTCTGATTTTGTCTATTTGGAGGTTCTAGTTCTTTCTTTTCATTAACTGGGTTAGCAGCCTGTCAATCTTGTTTATCTTTTCAAAGAACTAGCTCTTGGATTCATTGATTCTTTGTATAGTTTTGTTTGTTTCTATTTCATTAATTTCTACTCTGATTTTTGTTGTTTCTTTTTGTCTTCTGGGTTTGGGCTTCATTTGCTGTTACTTTAAAGTGTCTTGAGTTGCAATGTTAAGTCATTTATTTATGTTCTTTCTGATTTTTAATGTAAGCATTTAGAGCTATAAACTTCTTTCTTGGGGCTACTTTCAATGTTTCCCAGAGGTTTTGTTGTGTTGTACAGTCCTTTTCATTTAGTTCCTGGAATACTTTTATTTCATTCTTAATTTCTCCTTTGACCCATTCATTATTCAGGTTTGTATTGTTTAATCTTCATGTATTCATGTACCTCCTGGGATTTCTTCTGGTGTTGATTTTAAGCTTTATTGCATTGTGGTCTGATGGAATGCATGGAATTATTTCAATCATTTTGTATTTGTTTGTATTTGTTTGATTTGTTTTGTGCCCTAGTATGCGGTCTATTTTGGAGAGAGTTCCTTGGGGAGCTGAATACAAAGTATATTCTTTGGTGCTTGGGTGGAATATTCGGTAGATGTCTGTTAGGGCCATTTGATGTATTGTATTGTTTAATTCAGATGTCTCTCTATTAATTATCTGTCCCATTTACATATCTCATGGAGACAATGGGGTATTATAGTCCCTAACTATTAATGAGCTGGGATTATTCTGGGTTTTAATGTCCTATACTACTGGTTTTATGAAGTTGGGTGTACCAGAGTTTGGTGAATATGTTTTTGTGACTTTTATATCTTCTTTGTCAATTATTCTTTTGATCAGAATGAAGTGGCCCTGTTTATCTCTTCTAATTAGTTTTAAGGTCTATTTTGTCAGATATTAGAATTGCAATGCCTGCTTTTTTCTTACTATTCACTTGGTATATTTGTTTTCCATCCTTTCACCTCAAGTTATTGCCTGTCCTTCAAAGTGAGATGAGTTTCTTGCAGACAACAAAAAAATGGGTTTTGTTTCTTAATCCATTCAACTAGTCTGTGTCTTTTGACTTGAGAGTTCAGTCCATTGATATTTAAAGTTATTAATGAATGATGTGTATTGATTCCTGTAATTTTTCTTTCTGTTCTCTTGCTTGGTATAGCTCTGTATTTTTGAGAGTTATACCTTCATTAATCTTCTTTCCATAACCCCTTGATTACAGTCTTTCCTTTCTTCAGCTCTTTGTATTGCTTCAAGAAATCTCTGAAGGGCTAGTTTTGTGGAAATGAATGCTTTCAGCCTATTTATGTCATGGAAGATTTTTCTTTCCCCTTTGACTATAATAGATATTTTGTGTGGGTAGTATAATCTGGGTTGGTATCTGTGGTCATTTAGAACTGGGAATGCTTTGGTCCATGCTCTTCTGGCTTTCATTGTTTGCACTGAGAAGTCAGCTGTAATCCTGTTGTGTTTTCCTTTATATGTGACTTGTTGTTTTACTTTTTCAGCTTTCAGTATTCTCTCTTTGTTCTGCATGTTTAGTGTTTTTACTATGATGTGCCATGGAGAGTTTCCTTTCCTGTCTATTTGGTGTTCTATATGCTTCTTGTATTAGTATGGGCATGTGTCTCTTTAATTTGGGAAAATTTTCTTCTACAATCCTGTTGAATGTCTGGTCCATACCATTTTCCAAGTTTCTTCTCTTTCCTGTATGCTTATGATTCATAAGTTTGGTCTTTTTATGGTGTCACACAATTCCTTCCCATTCCATTCTTGTGCTTTTTAAAATTTTCATGGAGAATCTTTGTTTCAGTGGTCTAATTCATCCACTTTATCCAAAGTATTGATATTCTGTTTTCCAATTCATCCTGTTGCTGAGTCTTTCTCTTGTCATTTATAATTGGCTTACTGATTGTTTCACTTCCTTCTTAATTCCCCCCTGAGCATTCTTCAATATTTCTAACTTTTTTCTGAATTCATTCAGAAGTTTATCCCTATCTTCTTTCAGTTCTTTGATTTCTTTTTTTGTGTGTTCTTTAAATTCACTGAATTCTTTTTATAATGTTTATAACTGTTCTTTCAAGTTCCATGTGTTGTGTTATCTCTAGGGGGTTCTCATTGTACTCCTCTACAGGACTGATGGTACTTGGTTTGGTATATTATTTTGTTTTTCATAGTTTTACTTGTTTCTCTGTGACTTTGACAGGTGGATTTCTTTTGTAGATTCTGGTTCTTTTGGGAGACTCAAGCCTTCCTTTGTTGATTTTTGGTCTACTTCTTTTTGTAAGCTTTATGTGCT